TACACCGATTGAGCGAATTTAAAATACGTCATTTTTAAGAGGTCTGAACTCCAATAGGAGGGGTAAAAAAATACTTCCGCTACAATATTTACTTGAGAAAACGAAGTATAAACATCAAACTAAAACTGCTAAAACAAATATTTACTATAAAATTAATCATGGAGTACAATATGATTTCAAAGATGAAAGTTGAAGAGTTAAAAAACTATTTGAAATTAAGAGGATTAAAATTAAATGGTAAAAAAGAAGAGCTAGTTGCTCGTGTATTTGCTGCAATAGAAAACAATGTTCTACCAATAAAAACAGCAGTAGAAGTTGAGGCAGATTTAAAAAAAGAATATAATTTGAAACTGGAATTAGAAGATATGCAGATACCTGATCCGTTCAAAATTCTTGATGGCTGGATGGACGAACAGGAGGGTATGCCATTCTGGCCAATGTTATTATATCCAGATATATTTAACTATTTAATGTTTAATCCCTCAGAACTCGGAAGTAATGACTTAAGTGACTATAAAAACTCAAAAGCATACAGCTACTATAAATCTTCCTGGCTTCAGCCTCTTATGTATCATAATTTAACAGGTAGTAATTACTGTATATTTAAATCAGAATGTCGGAGATCACAGTCTATCAATGATACATATCATAAACTGTGGCTAGTATTAGAAAAAAGTGCTAGAATTAAAGCCTGTCATTGTACATGCATGGCTGGCATGGGTCAAACTTGTAACCATGTTGCTGCAGCAATGTATAGAATAGAAGCTGCTGTAAGAAATGGATTAACTAACCCTGCATGTACAAGCACGTCAAATGAATGGCTGCCATCTAGAAAAGAAGTAGCACCTTCTAAAATCAAAGACCTTGACTTTAGTCGTGAAGATTTTGGCAAAAGAGGTAAAAAAAAGAGAAAGTTAGTAGATACACAAAAAGAAAAATATAATCCTCTATCGAATAATACAGTACAATTATTAAAAATCAATGATGTAGCTTCTGCTCTTGAGAAAATTGTGCCAACAAGCATTTTGTTTACTGCTGTTCCAAAACCAAAAGTAGACTTTATTCGTGAAGTTTTGACAACAGTTGATATGCCACCAGTTGATTTGCCAAGCATTGACAGTTTAATTTCTACCTCTTCGTGTTGTGTTGAGTTTTTTACAGGTTTAGAAGTAAACATGTCAGCCAAAAATATAAAACAAATAGAATTAGTAACACGAGGGCAAAATAAAAATGAAAATTGGTATCACTATCGAAAAAGTGTTATAACTGCCTCTAAAGCTCACGAGGTAGCAACGAGTATGGATAAAATTAAAAAAGTTGTTGTTGGCTACCATAACTTTTGGTCACTTAACCAAAAAATATCAGGGCTGACATTTACTAACCCTAATATTCCAGCCTTAAAATATGGGCGTACGATGGAAGTTGAAGCTGTGAATGCGTTTTATGTAAAAATGAAAGGACATCATAAAAATCTTGATTTAAATGAATGTGGACTATACCTTGATTATGAACATCCTTACATTGGAGCAAGTCCAGACCGAATAATGTCATGTGATTGCTGTCCTAATGCATGTATTGAGGTGAAATGTCCTTACAAGATTAATTTTACTGCACCAACAGAATTAAATTTACCATATTTAATAAAAAAGGGTGTTGATATAAAACTCAAAACTAACCATACTTATTACACCCAATGTATGATGCAAATGGCTGTTACAAAGTGTAGTGTTACATACTTTGTTGTATGGACCCCACATGGCATAGTCGTAGATAAAATTGATTTTGATGTATCTTTGTGGAGTTTGTTAAAGGAAAAATTTATTAATTATTATAAAGATTACTATTTTAAATCTATTTTTAGCACCTAATTTAAATCTTTTCAAAAATTCTTTTATATTTAGGTTTTTAGCATATTTTTAAAAACTTAGTTTTTTGCTCTAATGCCACTAATTATGATCTTCCTCTAATTTTATTATGATAGTAGATAATATATTATTATTTTTCTTAATGAAATTGATTTTGTAATGTTAGGATAAAATATATAATACTGCGACATTATATTGTTTGAGGATAAATTTATGTTGTAATGTTGGGGGACACAATTTAAATATAAATCTTTACAAAATTTTTTCCCCCATTTGTTTAACCTATATGTGCTATTTATACAACCATAACATATACAAGTTAACTTTTACCATCTTTACATATAGTTAAAGTTCTTATGGTCTTTTTATAATTTATTAAATTTTATTAAGAAGATTTTGCTTTGATTTTGTAGTTTATTTTTATCAAGTTTATTTTTATCAAAGTAACGTGATGTTTCTATTCTTACCCCTCCTGTGCAGTGCCGAATCAAGGGGGGGGGCTATATCCCCGGGCCCCGTAAATTTCGAGGCCCCAAAAAATTTTAGAGGACCTTTTTTTTTTCTAGTCATTGTTAGACTCTGGCCCATAAAAAAGACCTCCAAAAACAAATATAGCCCCAGGCCTCAAGAAGTCTTAAGCCACTGCTCCTGTAGGGACTCGATTTTTTTATACTTTCATAAAATTTATACGGTCAAAAGGTAATAAGTAAAATACTGCTATTGTAGGTTCGTATTTTTACTTTTTGAGATTTTACGTTTTGTTTTAAAAATTAACAATTTTTGAAAAGAAATAACAAATTTTGAAAAAAAATAACGAATTTTGTAAGTGAAGGCATCTACCCCTCAACACCCAAAGTAGTAGTAACAGTTGAAGAAGTCAGAACCGGCGATAGAGGGCGTAACAGCGGCGGCGTAAGTGATAGTGGAGAGGGCCATGCGCAACCTCACACTATTCATTTAAGTAGCTTTTGCCTCCTCCTTAACTTTAAAGATATTTTTCAGATTATTTTTACCCTGATGTCATACAATGACAATAATATTTGTGAAATGAAACTCAAAATTTAGTCAAAGAACCTTGTTATTAGCCCCCTGAACTTTTTTAAATTAACAGAAACAAAGATTTTTTAAGATTAACTTTATTTCTAACCTCTAAAGTAAGCAAACTGACTACTGCACCACGGCTGCTCCTAAAACATTCGGAGAAGGGAGGGGCGAAATTGGAATGCTTCCCCCTCCCCTGCCCCACTTTTAAAAACGCTCCGCCTCCGCTGAGGTGAAACATCTCTCCCCACCCCAGTCTTGATTTTTAGTTGGCAAATATGGACATGGTTTGACCTAGTCAGAAAATATAAAAAATCAATTTTTTTTTAATCGACAATATGCTTATGGAACCCCTAAAAAAAATTCATTACTGTCTAAGCCAAAAAATTAATTTCATTATTGCGAAAATCAGTGTCGTTGCTATAATTTATGCTGCCTGTAGCTGATTTTAAATTTGAAGATCCTTCAACTTTAAAAAAAGGTACTAGATTTGTTTTGTGTCCACTAAATACAGCGATAGAGATTTATATGTAAATTATTCTACCTCCTATTAACCGATCAACCTCAATAATATTTGAGTTCCTTTGTTTCCTCCTTTTTAAAATATTATTTTAGTTCCTTAATTGCCTTTAAAAATATAGGAAAACTACAAGTTACATACCAAAAAAGTTTTATAAAAATAGAATCTTTTATGATTCTATAAAAATAGTTTTATAGTAAAAATAGTTAAAATCATAAAATACTTTATGCATTAGAAGGGGAGAAAACATTAAAAAATATCACACCATATATCTTACAAATAACTAACTTTAATAATAAATAAGATAGAAATATTAATAAAGATATTAATGTAAAGAATTAATAAATTTTAATAAAAAAAAGTTCCTGCAAAGTTAAGAACATTTATACATCATTGAGGAGATAAGACCGAATAACAACACCCAAAGGTACATTAATAAATACAATACATGTACAAGTAATAATAAAACAAAAACAAAAAACCTTTTTTTTTAAAAAAAGACTCAACAAAAAATTTACTTAATGAGTACTTATTTTTGGTTTAGGGTCTGCTATCAGTTTTGGTTTTAAATTACAAAGTGCACCACATGTTAGTAAAATGTCATCTGCATGTTGCAGCATGCTAATTGACATACTTCCATTTAGAATTCTGTATGTTTTAATTCGGTTAATAGCTCGCTCTACATGTATTCTTAGATTTGCAACATGTTTAGTTTTTTGAACTTCTTTGGTGGTTAATTGACTTTTCAAGCGGGCACCAGGTGGAACAACTAAAGTACAGAAATTTAAAATTAAATCTTCCTGAATTTGAAAACCTCGATCAGCCATAACTTCATCATCTCTCTCTAGTAGATTATATATACCACTATCTCTTGTAATAAACCTATCACTTGCTCTTCCACCATAACACGAAGAAAGAAATGTAATATATCCAGTTGGACTAACACCTATTAAAAATTTAAATGTATTATGATGCTTATATTCTGACCAGGTGCTTGATTGCTTATCAAGGGACTTTGAACGCTCTATAAACACTTCTGCACAATCAAGAATCACTCTACATTTTTGATAACCAGCTTTCACAAAAACAGGTGGCAGATTGTTACGAATAGATTCACGTGGAAGCCATACAACTAATGCTTGTCCTAAAACTTGACTTAACATTTTAATCCAAGTTGTGAATGTACGAGAACACAATGCTGGGGATATGCCAAAACGATCAGCTAAGTCTTGATTTAGAAGACCTAATCTTAATCGCATTAAAACAAGTAAAAACTCATCTCTTTGTGATAGTTTTTTAAATTTTTTCATTGAAGCATATTTTTTTTGGTTTTTAGAATTGGTAAACTTTTTTGGACCAGACCAATAAACTAAATTTGGTAAATATGGTTTAATTAGTAGAAACAAATTCTCAAATAATTTGATTGTTGATAAACCAGTGTAAAAGTTCATTTTAGCATCAGTTTTAATTTTTTTCCATGTAAATACTGAACTTTTAACACTATGAAATAACTTTTGACGCTTTAATTTTTGGCAAGTTAATGTTAACGTGTTCACTTTACTGATGAGTGATTCGATTAAATTGCTCTTGTCAACACATACTTTGCAAACTTTACTTGATTGTAGAGAGCAATACGAATGATCAGATACTGGCGAGAAAAATGATACATTTGCTAATGGTAAACTATTTTCTTCATATAAATCTGTTAAAACATCATTAGAATGAGGTGACTGTCCTGAAGCAAGCGTCATAAAAGTCGAACAACTTGTAGTTGCAGTGCAGTCAAGTTTTTGCTTTTTTAATGGTATAGGGTGTTTTAATAATTTTCTTCTAGATTTATTAGCTTGTATTCCATATCCAAGACTTAATTGTGGCGTAGGGTTTGCAGTTGAAGGAATTCCATCAACAAAGTGCATAGAGCATACCCTATCACTACCTGTTGGCTGCCATAATGTTTTATTTATAAATTCTCTTCTTAACGCTTTCACCCATAATTGTCTTTCTTTATTTTTCTGATTTACTGATGGAAATTTGTATAATAAAAATGGCTTTTCACATAATGAGCATTCCTCTCTGCTTATATTTTGATGGTGTTCATTGCATATTTCTTTTTTCCATTTTTTCAACCTATATGTACTATTTGCACAACCAATTACGGCACAATTAACTTTCGGCATCTTTAAATAAAAAGTTTGTTTTCTGATTATACTTAATAATTAAATAAATTTTATTTGAATGCTTTTGATAGATGTTTATACTTCGTTTTCTCAAGTTTTAATGGGAGATTTATAAGGTTGTCTCTACTTTTACCCCTCCAACGGGGTCTCGAACTCCCAAATTATAATGGCGCGTTACAAAGCTCAATCGGTGTATTAAGAACTATTTATAAGCCGAAATTATCTCCTTAAAGCAGTCCTTGGGAAAACTCTTATATCTTGTAAAATACTTTGAGTTTAATTTTAGTGTTGCTTACATTTTGTTCAGTGTATATTTTAAAATGAAATAAATACAAATTTTTGGTAGAAATTTTCGGAAAAAATCATTTATCCTCTATTTTCAAAAAGGAAAAAATGTTAAGAAAAAGCTAATAATCATAAAATAACGTACCTATAATGTAAAAATAGAAGTTTAAACCAATATTTTTAGAAAAACTGTTTATCTTTCTGTAATACTCAATTATAGTTTTGATATTTCATTAAATAAATATTTTTAGGTGTCTTTTGAAGTGGTGCCGAAATTACCCTACTTTACCCTATATATATATATATATATATATATATATATATATATATATATATATATATATATATATATATATATATATATATATATATATATATATATATATATATATATATATATATATATATATATATATATATATACATCGGAATTAGTGAAAATACATTCAAGCTCAGATTTGCAAACCATCTTAAATCATTTAATGCAACCAGGTATAGGAATAATACGGGACTTTCTAAGGAAATCTGGAAACTTAAAGACGCGGGTAACATGCCTATAATTAAGTGGAACATAATTAAAAGATGCCAATCTTTTAACCCATCTACAAAAAAGTGTAACCTTTGCATCAATGAAAAGTATTTTATTATGACTTTTGATAGCCGACTACTACTTAACAAAAAAAATGAATTGGTTTCTGCTTGTAGGCATAGGAAAAAATTTTTACTATCTAACTTTGATTCCGGCGATTAGCAAATATCGGATCACGTACAATTGACGTCAGATGCCGTTGCAACGCTAAATTTGTGTTTTTTATAACGGTTTTAATTTTTTACATGAATAATATGGCTGATGATTGCCGAATGGCATGAAACTTTTAGTTCCATCATAAAGTTGTATTTTTTTCATTTAAATTATTTTATTATAATTTGATCTATTTTTTAAAAAAGATATTGATCACTCTTAAACAGACAAGAGTTGTATTTCCAGCACGGTGATTCAGTACTTATGCAAGCTTGAGATTTTATTATACGCATGCGTCTGATAAAAATATTCAATATTAAAATTTGTATTTATCGTGTTAAAAACAAATAAATACCTTACAACATTGTTTCCATTTTAAATCCAATTTTTATGAGGTTTTTAATAATTAGACAAATGTAATAGTATTTTATATACTTGAGCTGTTTTGTGCAAAAAATCTGAGTGAAATTTATGTTTGAACATTTACTACAATAGTTAAAACAGAAAAGAGTAATATTGTTAAAATAAAAAATAACACTTTATATACATTTCAATTATGGACGAAGCAAAATTTTTATGACATGTGGATTAGTTTTTAATAAAAGTATTATTCATTGATATTCAAAAAATATTGACTTCTATAACCTGTCATTTTTTTATAATATGTTATTTCATTATTTAGCTAAAAACTTTTCAAAAATTTTATTTAGAAGATGACTGAAAAACATCAACAAAAGTTATTAAGAGTTTGCAGAATTTGTGGAAATTTAACAGGAAAAGACTCTCTAACAACTGCCAGTAGGACTGAAAGAATATTTAATGTTTTTAAAATAAATACTAAAGAAGATTGTGTAGAGGTTCATCCACCACAAATGTGCCTAAAATGTTATTCAACTATGAAGAATATTGAAACACGAGGAAATAAACTATCTAAGATTAAACCAAAAATTTGGTTAAAATGTCCAACAAAGGAATGTATGTGTATTTATGGTAAGGTTGGTCGAAAACCATCTCCAAATGTTGGACGGCCAGGAGTTTTTAAAAGATGGACACAACTAAATATAAACTTGTTTCTTGAATCCTTGCCCTTACCTTTAAACAAAAAAGAAATTTCTGAATTCAATATTCAGCTAAACCCACATATAACATTATGTATTTGTAAAGTTTGTGGGAGGATAATCCATCAACCAGTCATGATCAAAGATTGTCAGCACTCGTTTTGTAGTCAATGTATTATATCAATTATTAAAGGTAAGCTAGAAAATGAAGCAAGATGTCCTGTTTGTTTAACCTGCATTATGATTAATAGCCTTTGTAGTTCTGTTCATGTATTGGAGATGATTGAACATTTGTATATTGCATGCAAGATTTGCGAAAAAAACTTTATTAAAGACAAGTATGAAAATCATGAGTGCAAAAAAGATCATTTATTAAATAATTCCAGCACAATAGTTGATGATTTATTTAAAGTTGATAAGTCAAGTCATATTCCACGTAATATTGAAGATGCAGTGTTGCATGTAATTAAACAAAAAATGGAGAATTCAAAAACAACTACAATTGAATTTTTATCTGGTGGCCCAAGAGTAAGAGTAATAATATTTGTAAAGTACATTAATATAAAACTTAAACTATAAAATTTCTTGTCTGGAATTTTGAATATTCATAATGATAAAGATTGCTGATATTAGGTTTATGTATTGATATATATTTTTATTTTAAAGCCCCTTTGCTTAACTGTTATGCCCAAAGCCTACAAGGAAAGTGCATCTTGCAGTGGTCATACCTTGAGAAAAAGACACAAACACCTAGTGGACCAAGCTAATCATCAAGTTGGAAATTCAAAAGATTCACTAGTAGTGCAAACATCAGTTATGCTTAAATCATTTGATCACAATCAAAAAAATAAAGTTTTAGAAAGTGCTAAGATTGGAGTTGTTGAGTTTTCTGCTGAAGAATTGGTTGCTTTTAAAGCAAATGTAGGGGTACCGTGGAATAAATTAAAAACTATGACTAGGTAAAATTATTTTTTTAAATATTTATTGGTTAGTTTATTTATTAGTGTTAATTATTTAGAGATTAATGTTAATTGATTTATTATTTAAGTGAATGTAGGTGTATATTTAAAAATGCATGCTTTTATTAATTTACATAATAATGCATATATAATTAAGCAGTATGAAAAATAATTTAGTGAAAAAAATGAATAAGTGTTATTTACTAAATATTGTAGATGGTTAAACTCAAGAAATATTAAGACTGTTTCAAACTTTAAGCAAAGAGTAGTTGCAAATACCTGGGCAGGAAATGATCTTGTTGTATTAAATGGAGATTTTACATTTCAAAATGAAAATAATAAGTCAGTTTTTGAAATCAAACATGCTCCCTGGGCATACATAGACAATCTACCCACTAATATTAAAAACCTGTTAGATATTCTTGAAAGGTATGGATATTTGTACAAATTTGTTACTTAAAAATCTAAATATAAACTATTGTAAAAAACTATTTAAGCTGTATTTTTTTATGTTATATTTTTATTTTATTTAAATTTATTAGTTTTAAGTTAATAAAACATGATGGAATAAAAAATGATGAAATACACATAAAAATTGGAGGAGACCATGGAGGTGGTTCATTTAAAATGAGTTACCAAATTGTAAACCAAGACCAACCAAACTCAAAATCAAATAGTATTGTATTCAGTACATTTGAAGCAAGAGACTACCGAACTAATCTTAAAGTAGGGTTATCTCGATATACATTACAAGTTGATGAGATACAAAAAATGACATGGCAGTAAGTTACTATTTCTAAAGAAATAAGCATTGATAATTTAAATAAAATTCAAATATTTTGTGTTAATTTAATATATTTTAATTGTTTTTAGAAATCATAATGTTCGTGTTTTTATATTTGGAGATTATGATTTCCTTTGCAGTGTATATGGAATCACAGGAGCGAGTGGTAGGTTTGCTGTACTTAAAGAAATTTTATGTTATTTGATGATAATTTTTTTTTAGTTATCATAAGTAAAAACTTTTGTAAGATTGAAAAATTAAAGTTTTAAAGATATAATTGTTTAACTCCATTCAATACTGTTACTTATGGTATTATAGGTCGACATTGCTGTCTTTTTTGTGATATAACCAAAGAAAGTATCCAGTTGGCTCCAATTAGTAGAGAGAATGGTGTTTCACAACGATCTCTAAAATCTTTAAACATTGATTTTAATCGATTCCAAAGTAGTGGAGGAAATTTGAAAAAGGCTAAGTTTTTCAATAATGTGATTAATGAAACTTTGTTTCACATTCCTCTAGACCAGGTAATTTATTTTTAGCACTGTATTTTAGTTTTATTTTGAGGATTTGTATGGCTTTAAGTGTTTTTAATAGTGTTTAATTTTATTTTTAGGTAGCAGTACCTGCTTTACATATATCTTTAGGAACCTATTTGAAGTTTTTTAACATGTTTGAAGATGAATGTCACTTGTTAGATATCAAACTTGCTGGAGAGCTTGCACTAAAAAATAATACAATTGGTAAAGATGATTTTGACAAATACATTAATATGCATATTCAATCAAATCTTATAAAAAGTGTTATTGAGGACTGTGATAATAAAATTACACTTTTACAAGACACAATTTCATTAAAAGTTTTATGTGAACCAGACAGAACAGAAGAAATAAGGAAAGTATATGCACCAAGAATACTTTACTATGATTTAAAAAAAACTGATAAGGTATTTATTATTTACAAAAAAAATATGAATTTAATTTAGACTTTAGTTAGAATTATATTTAACATAATTTTAGAAAGCCAAAAATATATCAATTTCAAAAATTTACAATACAATTACCTACAGTTTCTGTAGCATATATTTAACAAGAAAAATATTTTTCTAGATGAAAGAACTAAATTCATTAAATGAAGCAAACATTCTTGATAAAATTTCAGGTCCCTGCATTCAGCAACTTGATGAAATTTTAAAGGCTAATCAGGTACAAAGACAGGCTTATCATGGGAAATGCTTTGTTGGAAACCATGTTCACACAATGCTTAAGGTTTTTTTTACAGTTGTTTTATATTAAATATCCTAACCTGGTGGGTTGGTTATATCGATCAGATAAAATCTTTTTTTTTTTTTAATTTTTTGTTCAGACTGCTTTGAACACATCGGCCACCCCTGCGTTTTGTTAATAAAAATATTTCAAAATTATTTAATTTTACTTATATTTAATTTAGCCTCAACCTTTGCTAGATTTGTGCAACTCTATTCCAAAACTGATTTCAAATCTTGGTTTTATTGATACAGACGTTCATTTACTCTCAGTTAATGTGAGCCAAAAATTTAAACAGTTGTTTCAATATTATTCCAAATGTCATAACTTGATGAACAGCTCACAATCATTTCAAGAAAATGATGTTCAGGAACTTGGTAGGTATTTAAAATCGTTTTACGCAAACTGTAGTTGAAGTTAGCATATTCTTTAATGCCATAATAGTTATTTTGAAAAACATTAATTGGTTGCTTTTTTTAGTTAGAATTTGAGGAATTTATTTAAAGAAATTCAATTAGGCTTTTTTTTTAAACATGTAAACTATTTAATTTTAGAATCAGCAATCTGTAATCTTATGGAATTTTATAGATCAACTTGGCCAAATGCATCTGTAACTCCAAAGATGCATTTGCTTGAAACACACGTTCTTCAATTTATTCAAAAATGGGGATTAGGCATTGGAGTTTATGGAGAACACGGCGGAGAAAGTTTGCATGCTGATCTAACAATCTTAATCGTTTGTTTTGTCATATGAAAGGTTGTAGCCGCTTGAAAAGCATGGTGAAAGAACATTATGTAAGAAACCATCCAAAAGCTAAAGCAATGAAGCCAGAAATTAAAAAGAAAAATTTTTTTTGATTTTTATGTGTGTATATAATATATATATATATACACATACATATACACACATTCAACTTTGTTCTGAGTATCAGAGTGTTCTGGTAAACACATTATAATATTCTTGATTTAAAACGTGCACGCATTGTAAGTTTAAGGTTAACTTGAACTTTATGTAAGGCTTTCAGAGTAGAAAATTCTTCCATTAAAAAGCTAAAAAAACTACGCAAAAAATGTTACCAGCCTGCCGTTAAATGCAGTTAACTTTTTTTAAAAAAATGACAGGTTAAAACGAAAGGCTTAGAATTTTTAGGCATGATTTATAGAATTTAAAACAATTGAACTTTTTAGTCAAAAAATTTTCAAACAAAAGATATCCCTCTAGTTAGCTAACAGATATTTTATTTTTTTTATCTAAAAAACCTTACATTTTGCTCATTAAAATTTTCTTTGTTTACAAAGATTCTTATTTATTTTTATGATTTACTTAAAACCTTCTAGAATGTAAGACTTTAAAAATATATAGTTCAGGTTTTTACGCGAGGAATAAGTAATTGTTTAATAAAATACTAAATCAACGAATTTTAGTTATTTAGATAAAAACTACTTCGCCATTTTTTTCCGTAATTAAAAAAAAAAAACAAATGTGCGCATGCTCACAATAAAATATCAGGCTTAAATCACCGTGCCAGCAGTATAAAACATTTATCAATATATATATATATATATATATATATATATATATATATATATATATATATATATATATATATATATACATATACATACATGGACGTTGAGTACTCAAACTTTCAAGGGAGGGGGGGGGGCAAAAAATTAAAGGTTCGATTTTTTTGAGCAATCTATGTCCAGTGTTTTTTTTTTTATATATATAAATAAAAAATAACAACTTTTGATTTTGGCTAACTAGCATCAAGAAATTAAAGCAAAACAAATACAAATCGAATTTTACTTGGTCTCCAAATAAAACATTCTACGGCGCGTTTTGCTTTTTTTTAAAAAATATATATAACATAAAATCCAAGACTCCGAATAATTTCTTTATGGATATTAATTACAGAAACAGCGTTCAGCCTTTTTTGGCTCATGGTCAATTGAAAAAATGTTTTTAATCTACGCAGACTACTAAATGGTTGTTCTGGTGTACAAGTTGACACTGGCTAGACCAGAATTATTTTAATAAAACGGAAGCAATGCTTCTCAATCCAATTTGTTCTTTAGCGCGGATGAAATCTAGAGCTGATTAAGAATCTTCTAATTGAACATCATCGATAAATTTTAAGTTTTAAACATCATCGATACATTTTAAGTTTTAAACATCATCGATACATTTTAAGTTTTAAACATCATCGATACATTTTAAGTTTTAAACATCATCGATACATTTTAAGTTTTAAACATCATCGATACATTTTAAGTTTTAAACATCATCGATACATTTTAAGTTTTATTGTATTATCTCCCAGCGTTCAAAAATTATCACAATATAAAATTTGCAACCCTTTCAAATTGAGGGGCTTTAAACTTTATATGGTTATAATTTTTGAACGCTAAAATATTTTACTATGAAAATTAAAGTTTATCGATAAATATAAGTCTAGTTAAAAATAGTAAAAAAAATACTTCATCAACTTGTTGCTCTCATGTTTGGGGCAGGGGGGTAAAAAGTTTGCGGCTTTTTTGTTTCCAGGCTCCAATCATCGCAATATTTTACAAAGCATCCTTATTTGACATAAGTATAAACATATAAATGTTTGCTCCATGTCTGGAAGTTAGTTATCTCAAAGACCAAAAATTGGTTTGGCGCCACTTTAGACTCTAAATCCATTTCAATTCTAAATCCACTTTAGACTCTAAATTCATTGTTTAATCCATCATTTAGACTCTAAATTCATCGTTTTAGCAGATTCAGTTGCCGCATCGATAAAGTATTTTAAAACGTGATTTAGTACGCAAAGATCTCAAAATTTGTTTCAGTGTCTGAATGATGGATTCAGCCTTACTAAAGTTGAGCCGGCTTTCTGAAGTTAAATGCTTGAACCTTCTAGGATGGTAAAAATGATTCAAATAAATTCCAATTTATAAAAGGTGTTATAAGGCTATTGCTTCCATTCGGCATTTGGTAAAGCCACGTTTGGTGGTAAGGTCTTCCAGTCAAATTAGAAGTGATCTGTAGTAACTAATAACAGATATTAAAGATGGCTTATGTATTTT